GTAACATTTATTCGTTGTATCTGGAAATGCAAGAAAACAGTACAATTTTGGAGGGAGATAAAACTAATTTTTGATCCTAAAGTGTTTATCTTAGGATTATACCCAAAGAGACATTATATGTCCAGAAAAAATATTACTGCAATAGATTTATGCCTATTACTTGCAAAAAGAGTCATTGCACTTTCATTTAAGAGTACCAGTAAACGGAAATTCATTAATTGGATTAAAGAAATATCAATAACCTTGCCAATGGAAAAGATTAGTTTCATTGTAAAATGTCGCTATTTCAAAATATTTGGGGTCCTTTAAAGGAATATATAGAAAAAATAGATATGAGGGGTGTCGGGGCTGAACTATAGTTGCAGTTGGTCTCCTGCAGTGTCCTGAAATAACTTTCATTATATGTATACCTGACTATTCCACTTGGAACTATACATTTGAGTTTGTATTTTCTAAGCGAAGTAGAAAACCAAAACAATCTGAGCTAATCTTGTCAAAAACAGAGAAACCATTATTGTTGGAACTTTTTTTGTTTTGTTTTTTCTATGGGAATTGAGATTGTGGGAATGTTTCTGTTTTTTGCTTGTTTTGTCTTCCTTTCCTCATATGTTCTGTAAGTATGGCTCTAAAATAGCTTATAACGATCTGGCAAACAAGAAGGGACAAGTTGAATGTTGGACAAAAATCAAATACTCTGAACTTTTTGTTTAATGTGAGAGCATACTTATGTTCTGTTTAAGTACTGTTTAAAATCCATAAAGATAATGTTGGAGAAAAAAAGCTGGGCTTCTAAGAGGACCATGACTCCCAGTTACAGGTTCAAATTAACCTGTTTTCTTATTGTACATAAGAATCAGACTGCAGAGCTTCTACATATCTTGAAATGTTTTTTTTCTGGCATCATTATATTAGTAAAGAGGTTCATAAATCCTTTTAAAATGAGCACAGAGTGAAGCAGAGAGAGCTGTAGATTTTAAGATGAAACTGATTTACTGGGATATGCAACATGGAATAAAATTTACCAGAAAGTTTACAAGAAAAAATATGCTATGCTATATTTAAAAGGCAGCATATAAATATTTTTCTGGATTGATGGAACTGAAATTGTACTTAGAGGGATGCATGATATATCAATTTTGGGCACCGGAATTGGCTGTTATTTATTATTGTTTTTATTCTTTAATGTTTTTGGACCCTACATATGTAATGCACTAAAAGGCATCTCTCTAACATCTATAAATATCAGTGTATTATTTAAAGCTCTCTTTTACTCTCAGCAATAGAAAAGCATTCAATAAATACACACTCACCGGCCACTTTATTAGGTACCCCATGCTAGTAACGGGTTGGACCC